GTGTGTGTGTGTGTCTCTCTCTGTCTCTCTCTGTCTCTCTCTCTCTTCTCTCTCTCTCTCTCTCTCTCTCTCTCTCTCTCTCTGTCTCTTTCTATCCCCCCCCCTCTCTCTCTCTGGTTGTAAAGTCTCTTCGTTTGCCTCTGCCTGCTATGTTTTCTTAAACAAATCTATCAGGCAAATCTTTATGAAACATTATTAACAATAGTTTCGTATTACCAGACTAGTGATAGAAAACGCTTCATTGCTTATCAAAGCAAGAAAACCTGTGAACTATGAGTTGTAAATATGAAACAAAGGATCCCATTATACTGTTCGCGTAAGCTTATACGGTACCTGGGTTTTTAAAAAAATCAAAGGGAAAAAATTGTAACTCAATAGTTCTTTTCATCGATAAAGCCGAAGAATATTCAGACCTTTGTATATTATTCAAGCTGAATGGGGGCACTGAAGGCCCCACCTTTTAAACGACCTGATTGAGACTTTTTGGGGGTTTTTCTTTAATCAAATGGGAGCCCATTGATTACGGCAGCTCTAAATAAATTTTTTTAGCAACTATTTCCGTGGTTCACGACACAAATAATAAGGGGAGATAACCGGGTATTTGACGTGTCAAAATACCGCCCCTGATTAAATAAAACAGAAGACCCATTGTTATATCCCTTCTATGATGTGTTGTTTCGGAAAATAATGTTATTGTTCAAAATGGGCGCATATTATCCATGTCGCTTTTTTAAAACTTTGTTCAAATCATTTTTGTAAAGCCTACTATAACTTTATTGTTAAGCAGTCTGCAATAATCATAATAGGTTAATTGTCTCAGACATTGTTCTTTTTTTTACAGTTGCCTCAGATAAATGTTTGCGTATGATCAACAAAAATGTGTTGCTTTTTCGTCTGAATTGAATGTACATGTATTATCCTATCTTTTAAGGTATATTATGTTTCTGAGACACGCATTTAGTGTTCTATATCTATCTATCCCCCCCCCAGGTTTCATGGGGGTAGAAAGCCTCCCGTACCAGAAGTACCAGTACAAGCGCTACTCCACTGACACGGACGACAGCTCCGCAGAGGAGGATAGCGAGGACAAGATGAACGCCATGCTCTGTGTCGTGTGCTGCCTCTTCTCTGTCTGCATCCTCATAGGGGTCGTGGTGCTGCTCTGTCACTACGCCGAGAAGAAGGCGGAGGAGCAGAGGATCCCCAATAGCGATCGAGGTAGGGTACCGTACCTTGCTTGTGTCTTTTTTTGTGGGGGCGAGAGGGGGGGTTTAGGGGGGCAGTTGGTTTGTTGGGTTGGTT